TGTATTAAATATTATGCGACATGCCCTGAGGATGAGAGATCAATAATGGTCCTTGTGGTTTCCTGATGGAATGCTGTAATTATTTTCTTCCATTACAACTTAAATGTAACCCAATTTTACTCATCTATCATCTTTATAATAGCAACGAAGAAACATCACCATATGTTTATTTTTCTGCCCATTCCTATTATTTCTTGTTTGCAACTTGTTTTGATTTTGCTTTCATTTGAAATTGTTCTAATCTCTTTGCTTTCTTCCTTTGATGGCTCTCAGTGGTGACCCTTTAACTTTGGCACTCTTTGAAACGGAGATGGAAAATTACTACTTTAAGTTTCCTTTATTTTGGGAAGTAGTTGGCTACTCTTTGAATTTGGTATAAATGATATTTAAAAACAAGGAAGTTTGATACAAACAATCTATGAGGTTGGCTTTTTTGAAAACTACGTTAGCTGCAAAATTTTGAATGCAGACTATAACAAATTATATAAATCTAGTCTCTTATATCCAAGGGTGTTTAGAATTGAAACTGGGGGAAAGCAGCAAATCTATACTTTTTAACTTGACTATACTATAATGCTGAGTCAATTGTCTTTCTCTCCACTCCCAAACTACTATCATTAACCATCTCTCCTATTTCATGGGGAGGCCGGGTGGAACTATTAAGTCATAAGGACTTACACAAAGGAAGCATCATGGAGGTGGGCCCCTCAGTAGCCTATCTCTTGTACTAATATGAAAGTGAAAGATCCGCAACAGCAATAGAACCAGAATGTGCTCCTTCCAGAAAACAATCCAATAACTTGAATTTGCCTTTCTTTACACAAGTATTCCTTTTAATCATAGCTGCTATTTATTTTGTGCTGAAGGCTAAGTCAGGATCTTTTACAAGCACTGCACTTGTCCACACAATCATCCTGCTCAGAGGAAAATGGGTTCACAGGATTTAAAAGATGCTCTCATTGGCCAGACAGGTAGAATATGGTGGAGTTCAATTTGAACCCAGATCTCTTTGACTTTAGTTTTGTTCCATTAGGTCTCCCAAAGCGCAAAATTTATGTTCAATTTATTGTGCCAAATATTTTGTATATATTATCCCAAATTTTTACAAAGCCGTGTGAAGCAGGCATTTGCTATCTGTATGTTACAAATGAGACTAAGATTCTAAGAAGTAATGCTTCAGAAGTCAAATAGCAGGTATACATTAAGGCAGAACATCCATCCAGGTGTGTCTGGCACCAAATAGCAAGCTTTTCCCCTTCAATGGACTGATCATTGGTCATTAAGATAAACAAAATGTTGGTCAAAATGTTTGCTGCAAGTCTATGTTTATTCTTTTGAATGCTTACTTAGAACAAAACTTTGATAATGGAATGACAAGAAAATAGTGTGATGTGATAGTTTTATTTTCTAGATAGGTAAGAGATATTTCAAGAATCCTTTTTTGCTTCAATTTTGATTAAAAAACTTTCCAAGATGTTTTCTTCTATTTCTCTTTCTAAGAACACTATAATTTAGGGATCAGGATCTTTGCTGATTTTGGGATTTAAAAAAATTCCCTTGTTCAATATTGATTCTTACTTGTAGGAGATTGGGCCCCTTTTCTTCACTAGAAAATACAGAAGAATGAAAGGAACAAAAGGACTTTCAGAAACCTGGAATTAGGAAATAAAAATGGAATATTAGCAGCATTCCAGAGATAACAGTTTTCTTGTATTCAATAAATTACTTCACAAACACAAATTCTTAAATGGTCTATTAGTGGTGTAATTTTTTTTCTTAGAATAATTATCATGCTAATAAATCGCTTATACCATTGGAGATTTCAGTTAATGTGCTTAAAATTAACTGACTTTTTAGTACTGTTTATCCCTAAATACAAGGTGAAGTTTTTTTCCCCCTCCCTAAATGTAGGACTGTACAAATTCTCCATATTATGGGGCATTTTCTCAATTAATTTATTTTTAATAATAATGTACTGTTTGGGTAATATGTATTAACTTAGAGCAACTTCAGTCAATACTGATTTAGTATGCTTATAGAGGCCCACTTATGAATGGGTAAAAAAGGAGGTAAAGATATTTAATACAGATTTAGTAATTATTTGTGGGTATATAATCTCATAATTTTAGCTGGTGGAAGTCACGATAAACAAACCTTTAAGAAGCACTTTTAAAAGCAACATAGAAAATTATATAACCAGTCCTAATGTTACATGAATGGGTACCTGTGGCTCAGTTTCTAGAAACAGCATCAAAGGTAGAATCACAGAGTTGGGAAGCACAAATGACTGACAGGTGAAGGTGATATGCCCTGGAAACTATTGTATGGTTCAAAAGTGTGTTAGTGATGTCATCAATATGAGAAGATGCTTATACATGCGTTTCATAATATGTGAGAATGGAAGGCAGCATAATATGTGATCTTAAATAAGCAAGTCAGTCCTGATACACCTGCTGGATGCCTAGGGTATAAAAGACTCTCTTTGTAATCTCTTTCTCTGTGATACAAACTCTTTTAACACAAGGCAGGGAGCTCAAGGAAAACCCCTCCTATGGCTGTGTTCACAAATTGAGGACTGGGAAGAAATCCTCAGTGGAAAGTTACTGCTGCATCTTTCCTAGTAGCCTTGTGCACAGAGCACATTAACAGTGCCCCCATAAAGATCTGATTGATTAGAGAAGTTAATGAGAAAACTACAACATGTGTGCTTATTCACCAAACTTTATGCTAAAATAAAAACTCAGTTCCAAGAAATTGTTAGAAGCCTGCCAAGACAGAATGGAGTCATCTTATTGCTTTTCAAACTGGTTTGATCATGCAAACACTCTGTTTTTGTGAGTAATGGCTCTGGGTATCTTCATTTGAAGATGAAGGTGGGAAATGACTATATGGTGATTATTAAAACAATCTGAGGTCTTTCTGTGGAACAGCTATATGAAAACTGAGAATGTGGATAGTCTCATTCTTGTAAGAATTTTAATCTTTAGTAACCAGAGAAGATAAACAGGCAAATAAGTAAGAAAAGGCTTGAAGGTATTTGTCTTTACGGAATTTGGCCAGTGCAAAAGTTGGCTTCCCTTGTGAGAAGACTATGTTGGCAAGTTCCATCTTGTTTCCCACAAGAATTTTTGTGATGGGAGTGATAATGGTTTCAGGTGTGGCTGGTATATTTTGGGTATTTTTCCTGGGCAATAAGCTGACCTAAATTTCATTGGATAATCCTGCCTTTTTGTTACCCTTGGAACATTAAAAAAGTCAAAAAGGTAGGATAAAGTTCAGATGTGTTTCGAAACTTTCTAGATCCGATAAGTACTTTTACACCTGGGACTGAAATGTACAAGATAAAAGTAATGAGATATCAATATATTCTCATAAAGTATAGTCTTTTTAAAATGTTTAACAAAACAAGATTTAAATAGTAAAGTCACGCTCTAAAGACCTCTGAGGAATTCCTAATAGACCATTTAAGAACTTGTGTTTGTGAAGTAATTTATTGAATACAAGAAAACTGTTATCTCTGGAATGCTACTAATATTCCACTTTTATTTCCTAATTCCAGGTTTCTGAAAGTCCTTTTGTTCCTATCATTCTTCTGTATTTTCTAGTGAAAAAAAGGGGCTAAGACATTCCATTGTTTTGTACAGAGTTTGCAACACTTATTAGGTATACACAAAGAAAAGTTAGTCTTACTTGACATATATATATATATATTGTTATTATGTTTATTCATAAAAATTGGAGAGAGAAGGACAGAAGGTATGTCTTTAGTTCACTAAAAGGTAAATTCATTTTCTCATAATTATTTTTCTAGCTTTATAAAAAGTTACTTGGAGTTTACATCTGGGATAGTATCACAGACATTTCAACAAAAGTGAAGCAAATGTTTATGAGTTCTTATGTCCTTGGTACATCTTAGCAAATTATACACTTTCTTCCATCACTGTCATGTTTAATGTTCCACTTTCAATGATCACCTTTATTACTTAGATTGAAAACTGCTAGCATAACTGAATATACATTTCCAGAGTCAAACTGTCATTAGAAAATCTACACTTGTTACCAGATTATGATCACTAGTGGTCATTATGTTAGGCGGCATCACGAGGTCCATATGTTCAAATCTGGGTCTAAACCAAGAAAGGCCACAATGGACTCCCAATTTAGTGCTCTTTCTCTGGCATTAGGCCATCTGATGACTGGCAAGATGAATCTTCTGGGTATAGCTTAGCTGTAATAATACTGTACTGAATCAAAGTCACAAAGGGTTTCCCTAATACCTTCAGGGGAAATGTCATTTCATGCAAGTACAAACTATAATTGATCAAATATCAATTGATATATCAAATATCAATCAGGTGAGAACTTGGTAGACACATGTCTATTCAAGAAGGAAGTCAGTGAATGAAGTCAAGATGCAAAGAAAGGATCCAGGAACCAAAAATTTCCCTCTAGTTTCTGATTTAGAGAAGCCTATCAGTTCATTTAAAAAATGATTTATTTACCAACATCTTAAAAGAGATTTTTGTTTGTTTATTTTTGATTAAGTTTCCTTAAGCAATGCTTATGAGCAAATGGGAACTCATAAGGAAAAAGCCCTCAGAGCCACAAATTATCTTAAGTGTCTTATTCTAAATGTTGTAAAGACTCTATTAGAATATCAATAATCATGTTTTACAGGGGTTGTGATTTGTTAAACTTTGTGTAAATCTGATGTTACTAAAGTTTATATAAGAGATAAATTTAATAATCTGAAGTGCTGGCAAAAGTGCAAATCCAACTTGTCAAAACATTTTATTTTTTCTTTTACTTACCTCTTAACTATTTATGATTTTACTTTTAAGTGGAGATTCAATTTCTAAATTTTATTGGAAAGAACTGGCAATATTTTGGATAAAGAATGTTTACCAAGCACAGAAAAATCGTTGCTATTCTTTTTCTAGACTGCTATGTAGTCTGATTTATATCTCATAAATTGTGAAATGGGAACCTGTGTGACTTACCCTATTAAAGCAGTGTTCATGGTTCGGTCCATAAAAATGCTGGAGACACCTTACATTGTTTTTGTTGACAATCTTGTTGAAGAACTCATTAATGTATTTGATGGGGAAAGCACAGACAGCCGAGCGATTCATTGGTTCAGCAGAATCTGGCTTGCTTTGTGCAAACACCCCGTAGAGAATGTCATCATTCAGGTTGGCTCCTATTTGTTTAGCAAGATGGGCACCAGGCTTACTGACGTACGCAGCTTGGAGAATATTAAACATTTCTTCCCTTGTGGCTCTCTTTCTTCTCTTTTCTGTGAGAATACACTCCAGTGGCATTTCCATGTAGGAATGCAGCCCAGAGTCTACAGAACAGAATCTGATTATTCTTGTGTGAAAAGTCTGAGCGTCTAGAGTTTCCCGCTGGACTGTCAAAAAGTAAATAAAATGGTTGCTTTCAAAGGCGTGGATGTACTTAATGGGGTAAGAATCTCGGAACTCAGGTAGAACATCGATATACGACTGATCTGTTAAAAACTTAAAACCATCTTGTGTTTCCTTTAGTCTTCTCACTGATATTGAATGCAATGAATGATCTGGAAGGTAGGAAGAATTTATAGTATTGCCCACGAAGAAGTTGATGAACCTGTCCTTTTCAGACAGGAGGACTTTGGTTCCCAGGGCGCTCACCACACAGTCAGGACACTGGCTCGGATCTTCATCTGCCTGTGGAGAGTACATGCAGTGAACCTCCGACTGTATGTCAGCAGTGTTGCCAGGTGGAAGCACGTGTCGCTGGCAGGTCCCTCTGTGAACACTGCCGCAGCTAATGAGCTGGTCATCATAGTATGTGTCAATAAGCAGAGCCATGTTGATATTATCTTTCCAAATGCCACCTGATGAATTGGTTTTGTGGCTGCAGTTCTGACAAGGAATACAATCTGGGTGTTCTAGCACAGGCCCAGTCTTGTACTCAGCAACTTTCTGAAGATTGTTGTCATTTAAAACATATATGTAGTTAATAGCACCGACGTAAATGTGGTGCTTGTGTAAAACAACATTCTGGATGGGTGTTTGCGCAGTGAAGTTGGGAAGCTGATACTTCATGTTCACATTCATCTCGGACTTTACCAGTGCTTCTTTGCACTCCCCATTGCTCTTCTGTACCAAGGTAAACAGAAGCACAAGGATGACAGGTGCAAGCACAGCAGGGGTTTTCATGGTGAGAAGTTAATCTGCCAAAACACATTCAAGGCAAGAGCCGTTTAGTTGTCATTAGAAACGAAGAAACAGCTAAAAGAATGATACCAGTTAAACTATTAGAAGCAAAGTTTCCTAACTGAAACTTTTACATTGAGTGAAAACAAAAAAACTCGAGCTGGTTTCACATAAAGATGCATTGTGCAGTTGGACATGACTCCACATAGCTTAATTTTAGAACTCCAACCATGAACAAGTAATTTTAGAGAATCGTTATGAGATGCAAACAATGTTCTGTATTAAGGACACAGAAACTAAGTTAGAATTATTCAGCAGTGAAGTCAGAAACAATAGCAAATTCTTTCTTAACCCCTTGCTGGTTGCTTTAATGTGGTTCAATATCTGTGGTTAATGACTAGGCTGATATTCAAACTTTCTCAGTTAATCAAGTAAAGAATTGTGGTTCAGATTCATTTATTCTAGAAATCACAGCAGGCATTGTTTTCTTGGGAGCATGCAGAATTACTAGGCTAAATTTAGCTTCCTTTTGGAAGAAAACAATCCTAAATTCTAGAAGCAATATGATCACATGCTGTTTATAGGATTTTGTGTGCAGTGGAAAGGTATGGTTATAATTTGGCTATTGTTGACCTATTGTTTTGAATAGACAAATGCTTACCTTAATGTCAGATCTGGGAACATAAAAAACAGCAAGTTGAAAACTTTTAAAATAAAATATAATCTTTGGAACTAAAGTCCTAGAATTATTTCTCAGAGAAAACAACCTATTTTTCATTACCAAGTCAAAAGTTATTTAGTAAAAATAATAACATTTTAAAATTGTATAATATACATATGGACAGTATTTCTACTAGGAAGCATGAGTGGAATTATTATCCAATTTTTAAAAACTTAAGGTGTGCCTTCTTTGGAGAAGCTTGGTACGTGTGGTATGGTGACACATCTGAACAGATGTCAACCTTTTCCTCTAAATCATAAACAGTGCTGTAAACCAATGTTACCATAATGAAAAGAACAAAATCACACACACAAAACTTAAGGTGTGTAGGTTATAAAACTAAATTCTATTTAGAGTATTTATGAATAGAAATTAAATAGTCCTTTTAAAAAACATAATTTGGGGGTCTCCCCTGACGGCACAGCGGTTGAGCGCTGGGCTGCGAGGCTGCCCGCAGCCTCTGCAGCGCTGGTTCGTTCCCCGGCCACCGGCGAGGGTCCCACAAAAAAACAAAAACAAAAACAAAAACATAATTTGGGGGACCTTTAAAAACAGACATGCATTGTAATTATGTTAAAGAATAACCACAAGTCTACAAAAATCACAACAGTATGTACATAACTCTGAACTTGCACTATGGGAAATGGGAATGATTCCTATCTTCCAGAGAATGTACATATGGTTGAGAAATAATACACAAATGCAAATTACTATGACATACAGCATTATAACACCCTGCAAAGCACAGGCCAGTAGATAAAAGCATAAAGAGAAGTAGGCATGGGGCATTATGACGGAGAAATAGGGCTCAGTTCACTGTGCTGAGTCCTGGAGAGCAATGACCATGTCTGTTTGGCTCATCATTCTATTCCAAGTATCTGGCATAGAGCCTAGAATGCAGTAGGTACTAAATATGTTGAATAAAGGAGTGAAGAACAATTAAGCAATAAGAATATTGAGGCATGATGCCTTTGCTTGTGAAGCTCACAGTCACTTGGTAGAAGCAATGGGCTGACAGACATCAATGGGAAAGCATAGGAAGGGCAGCCAAACCAGACGAGAAATGATGCTAGAGCTGAGTTCTGAAGGAGGATGAGGAATGGAAAATCCTTGTGGGTAGAGCAGTTTGTGAAAATATATAGAAGCAGAAGAGAACACATGGCAAAACTGAAATTAGTTGAGGCTAGTACACTAGGGAAACCAGAGATAAAAGGGCAAAAATTTTTGGAGAAATATTCCAAAGGAACAAAAGCCTAGAGCATGAGAAATGTCACTATCTTTGAGAGAGGAAGAGCAGAAGTCAGATATACATCCAGGGACACTGAAGGGGTACATGGCATATGATGGTAATGTTCTAAAAACGAATTAGGGTATATGCCCATAGGATGAAAGTGATGGATACAGAGGAGAGACTTTAGGGTGGAGGAGGAGGTTTGTTTAGAATAGCTACAGGAGGGCATGCAAACTGAGGTCAGCAAGAAATCAAAGAAAGGACTGCTTAGTAGCTCTGAAGGCGCCTGTAAAATAAGACACACCGTATTTTGACTTCCTCTTCCCATTCCTGAGCTATGAAAGAAAACAAAGGCATAAGGTTAATGATTTACAGGATCCAAATAAAGGTTGACTGGAGATTCAGGCTTTGAAGGCTAGAGAGTTATAGTTGAATCACATAGCTAAGCCAAGTTTCATTAAGGTAAAGAATTGGAAGAAGTATAAACCACATAATAACAAAAATAACAATAACATGTATTGAGTGCTTACCATGTGCCAGGCATTCTGTTAAACTCTCTGATTTACTCTTCATAAACACCCTGTGAAGTAGGAAGTAGTATTATTCTCCATTGTTAGATGAGCAATCTTGCCAGAAGTCACACAGTTAGAACAGGATTGAGTTTCACGTCTGCCAGGACTCTGTGCTCTTAAATGCTTCACTAGGACTGAAGCATCTTCCCAAGGTAAAGGTACTAGAGCACACAGTGGATAATCAAAGTTCCAGTTCTGGCCCTTTCTCTCTCTAGCTGTGTGACTTCGGGCAATTCATCTGTCTCTGAGTACCAGTGTCCAATATCCTCACAGAAATATCTTATATATCAAAATGAGATCTCATCTTTGAAAGTACTTTGTTATAGTGTAATATAGCACATATCAACATAGATATAGGGTACTGTACTTGTTACTTTTATATATAATCTGCACTGTTTATATATCATTCTCACTGTATGAGAAAACTTTTGGTGTCACTAGGGGTACGACAAGGAGTCAAAGAAAAGAAGGATTGGGGACAAGCTGACAAATACAAGCTGCAAACAAACTGGAACTATGTATCTAAACCTTCCAGAATATATTTTGTGGAAAAATAAATGTACTTCTCAACATGGTATCAATATATCTTCAAAAATTGGGAACATTAGCCTAATACACAATTTATTACTGTATTTTCCCTAGGAAAAATAATAAAGGAAGAAAATTAATGAACCATTACCGCCATAAGGGGGAAAAAAACGCATTACAACCAATTTGCATCTTAGCTGATGCCTATTAAAGTAGTGTGGAGGATGAATGACTTTTTTTTCCCTGCTAGATTTTTTGGAGGAGCCTTCAAAATGATCTTGCTTTTTTTTAAAAAATAAAAAATCTGAGTCATTACAATAAATTATATTACAAAACAAGGTTCCATAGCTCAAGCTTAATACACTAGTCACTCCTTGTACTGAACCTCAAATAACTAGAATCTAAGAAAACATGCAAATGTACTATTCATGGTTTTTTTTTTTTTTTTTTTTTTTTGTCATCCTAATTGATGAGATGGAAAATCACAAGAAAACCATCAGGAAGGTTATTTTTCCCATTTAAGGAAAAAGCCTTGTAGAATACCCATGGAGGGAGTAACCCAGACTCCTACATCTCTTGAAAGCAAATGGTGATGACATTTTCAGACTGAAAAAATCAAAGAAAGGCTAATTTTTTTAAACAAACAAGCAAGCAAAAAAACGAACACCTAGGACTCTCTGTCAACAACAGGATTTTAAATTAAAACACGGGTTTCTATTTAATCCTCAGATAATGAGAAACCTTAAACGCCCCATTTCCTTGATCATTTCAATTAATTACATTCCTTCCCCATTAACAAAGATGTGTGTTGGTGAGACTAGATCTTTTCTAAGAACTGTCTGTTGTTCTTAAAAAATGGAGGGAGATCTTTTGGAAGTATTTGTTGCTGAGCAGTGTACCCTGATAACAATAGTAGTTATTGTATGATAGCTGAAGGGTCAAGTGCACAGGCTCTGAAGACAGAATACAGGGTTTGAAACCCTTGTCTGTATAATCTTGGGCAAATAACTTCTCAGAGTCTTTACTTTTTCTTCAGAAATATGGGAGTGATTACAGCACCTACCTTAATTATAACGACTCTCGAGGATCAATGAGTCAAGGCATAGAAACCATTAAGAACAGTGCCTGACACACAGTAGGTCAAAAAATGTTCTCTATTATAGTCTGTTCATACCTTCAATGTTTTTTGAGCATCTACTATATTTCAGATATTACGCAGAGTGCTGAAGACACATAAATGAATAAAACACTTTCCAGGTGTCAATGAGATCTCAGAATAGAAGGCAAACACACAGATCACAGTAGCAACTTCCTGTGGAAAGGTTAATGGGCATCCCTGAAGGAAAGCTTGATCAGGCTAGGGAAGTTAGGAGTTCTTGTTAATCAATCATGATGTTTTCCTCACAATGCATTTATGATGCTGAGTCACAGCATGGAGGAAAAATGAGATTTCGTTGTGGCAGTACAGCAAATTAGTCATATGACCAAAGCAAAGCACCTAAATCCTTTGGTCTCAACTACTTTCTTATTTGTAAGCTATTGCAGTGAAATAGTCTTATGCCAGAGGCTTTTGGCACAAGCAGACAACCTAGTATGTGTATCTCTTCCTAATTCCCATTCAGTGACCTGTCTTGATACTTAAATTGGCCATTATGGCAACATTTACACCATCAAAACTGGCCAATAGAACAAAAAGAAAAACAATTGTCAGGGATGGTTATTAAATATTTATAAGTATACTCCTGGGTTGGACTTACAAACTCAAAAGTATTTTTCAACTCTAATATGAGAATGTTTTTTATTCTCTAATATGAGAATGTTTATAACTGAGAATGTTTTTCTACAGTTACATTTTACTCCAATGCCATTGAGTTGGCATATATTGCTTTCTTTTCATCGATATAATCTGCCAGATTGGACAATTTTAATATTTATATCTGTAGTGACTCCAGGAATACTTTCAAT